CGAGGACCCCGCGGCCGCCGAGGGCTGGGTCTGTGTCCGGTCCCCCCGCCGAGCCGACCGCGAGCCGTCCTCGGCCCCGAGGCCTGGCTTGGGAGTGAGGGGTCAGGGGAACATGGCTTAGGAAGGAGACCTTCACTTTTCCTCTCGACTTCCCCTCCCCAAAGGGGAGTGCTTCCTTTTCTGATTCTCTAGGGTGTTTCCTTTCCCGGCGGAGATCTCGTAACTCCACCCCCGTCCCCCGTCTCTTTTTCCTTTTTCCCCCCCCCTTTTCTCCCCCTCCTCCCCCTTGTTTCTTTGCTCTTGGGCTTGATCAGGAAGCTTTGCAGCTCTTATTCCTTGGAAAGCTGTAACGTGGCCCACAAAAAGACCCTCGCCCGTAGTTGCTTCCTGCCCGGGTTTGGCAGCTGGTCCCCCTCTGGGGGGACGGTTTGGTGGCAACCCATCCTACTAGACTTTTCCTGAAGGGGGGAGATGGTGAATCTCCTTTTTTGCATGCTAGATGCGGTGACAGCAATGGAACCAAAGCAACGACTCATTAATTTTCATTTAAAATAAGGAAATCTGATCATGGAACTAGTTCTCTCATCATCTACCCATTTCCTGTGGCTTACTGTGAAGACCCCATCTCTGGGAGGCCGGAAGGTGGGACGAGGAGAACCCTACTTAATGCGAGGTTTTTCCTAGAAAAGAACCATGATGGGTCCGTCCCCCCCCCCCCGACTTAGAAGTAATTGAATTGGTAGTTACAGTCTTTGAAGTGTCCACTCTTAACAGTGCTACTTCTTTTTAAGTTCCAAAACAGTCCAGCCATGTGGGAAACACAGTTAAATTCTGGTGTTTAACAAATGCTCTAATAAACCTAAGGATCTTGAACCCTGCACTCTGGTTTTATATTGTGTTCTTGTATGGAAATGAAGGGTTCTGTCTCCTTTCAGATGTGAGCATGTAGAAGTTAGACTGATCTTCATTTTGGGAAATGTTTTCTTCTGTGCTCTTTAGTGAAGGTGATAATAAAACAACAAAATGGGAGATCAGCATCACTGTGCACATTGCACAAACCCATTAGGCAGATCCGTGCATCCCTAAAAGTTACCCGCAGTATGCACATGTACATAAGTTGGTAAATGAAAATGAGTGTACATACACATACATCGATTTAAAATTAAGTAGTACTAGAAAGTTTTGAAAAGGGATTTTTCATTTTCTATCTCACCATTCTTAAGTGGTTATTAGTAGTAGCTCGAGTGGCTGGAAAGATAGCTGAGGAAAGAGTACCTCACTGTGTGAGTCAAATGTATACCTAAACGAGTGAACATTTTTCAAAATGAGTGATGACAAAATTCCTTATATGGCAGTCAAGCACTGTTTCCTGAGGCAGGGGCGGTGTTTAGATTTGCCTTCTAGAGTAATGTTTGAACAAATGAATGAAAAACACATTTTATAAGTTTCATGTTCTTGTTTTTATCTTGAGTGTTGTAGGAATATTGTGTAGATATATTACATATAGATTTTTTTCTATGTATTTTCTAGCCTAAGGAAAACATTGACTAAACCTTGGGGTTAAATCCCGGTAACAATATAAATTGAAATTTTAGTATCCTTTTAATCTTTTGGGAAGAGGGTGTTGGTTATGTGATCAGGAGGAAATGGAGACGATTTAGAGGTGATTTCTTTTTTTAACTAATACTTAAAAATCACATTACTTGCCTCCTTGTTTGTAGTGTTCAGACATGAGCTTTTAATATTTTGGAGCTTTTGGATCTGTAAGAAAGGAAGTGGTTAAGATGTAAATATAGTACTTTGTATCTACCTGGCTAAGAGGCAAATACATATATGTATATATGCACACACATATACATGTATATGTATATAGGGAGTTTGGAGATTGAGGTAGGTAATTTTACTATAACTGTTTAACAACTAGTAAGTTTCAAAAGCTTTAAGTACTTCACCCAAAGACATCTAGGAAAGAAGTGGTAGGAATTGGGGAAATTTAAACCCAAGTTTGTCTGATTCCAAGATTCATGTTCTAATGACATCATGCTCTCTTATTATAGAACTGTCTTCTGGGCTTGTATTTCGGTTTTAATTTGTTGACAGCTAATTTTGAAAAAGGGAGAGCAATGGTCCTTTTTTTTTCTTTTAAAATAAAAATTATAAATATGTTGTCAGACATTACTATCAGGTTCTATGTGTTTTATTGTTTGATCAGAGTTTATTGTTTAGCACAATGAAATGTTTTTATACCATTTTTTAATATTTTATCCTATTTTTTTCATGTATGCTCTGTGATAGAAAGCAGTTTAGTAATTAAATTCATCACTTGGGCTTCTGAGGCAGGAGAATCTGAGTTCTGAGGCCAGATTGGGCTACATAGTGGGACTCTTGTCTAAAAAAAACAAGCAAAACAAAAAGAGAAGTGAATCTAGAATGGTTTTGCCTCTTAAGTCATGTACAATTGCTTTTTTGAGGATATAACTGTGAAATTTAATAACCTTTTCTCCTTGGGCCACTAGACAGTAAATTTAGTTGAAGAAGTACAATGAAGTTTCTTTAATGTTATAGTGTGTTCCACAGACTTTTTACATAGTTACAGAAACTAAATAAAAAACAATTCTCATTTTCTGTTCTTGGAGTCACTGTATTCCCAGAAAGCATTTTAGTGAATTTGACATTTTATACAATATGACATAGGGCCTAAATAAAAAGTGATTCCCCAAACCCTTCAGAAGGATTTATTGATAGGAAAGGATCTTACTTTTTTTTCTTCTTGCCCCTCATACCTTTCCCCAGTGATTAGAATAATCTGCTTTCATTGCTTCAACTAGTATGTCTTTGCAGATGTATTTCAAGTACAAAGTTGTAGCTCTAACTCCTCTGCTAGGCATTGGTCCCACATTTTTATCTGCTGGTTATGTTCATAGGGAGCAGTTAACTAGATGGGTTCAGTAGAACCTTCCTAAAAGCAAACTGATAACTTTCCTCCTTCTTTACCCCCAAAGGAAGGCAATTTTTTTGTACCCATTGTTCTAGCCATTCAGGACTTTAAACTTCAGATTTATATGAACTTCAGTTTAATTTAGAATATACCTTAATACCTTATACAGTCTAAATTTTGTCTTTTTTTTTTTCCTTGCCAGTCTGGGGGCTCCAACTCTGGGCATTGTCCCTGAGCTCCTTTTTGCTCAAGGCTAGTGCCTCTTCCAGCCTTTCTGTGATTAATTGGAGATAAGAGTCTCACTGATTTTCCTACCCTGGTTGAAATCCTCAGCTCAGCTGAGTAGCTAGAATTACAGGCATGAGCCATCAGCACCCAGTTCTAAATTTTGTCTTTTTTTTTTTTTTT